CATCAGTAAAACAATTAAAATAGTGAGGAGGGGTTAAATTAGACAAAATTTGATCCTAGTAGACTAGAACTCCTGAAATTCTATCATATTTGAATATTATCTAGCAAAGGGCCATTTGAATATATAACTCTCGCCAGGAAAGATTGCCGGTCACAGCACACCTTGTGTCGATTTACAATCTTTGTTTTTATTAAGATGCGAGCGACTTCTGGAATAGGATCGTGCTAATGTTGAACAAAAAGTCTTTTCGTTCAACATTGACACGATACTATCCCGGAAGTCGCGAGCATATTACGAAAAACAGGGATTGTAGATCGGGATCAAGTGTTCTGTGAACGGCAATCTTTCCTGGCGAGTTATATGTAATTTAAATTCAGCGATCAATAAGGGGCGATCAAAAATGAGTTGCTGTCGAGTCGCCTTTGTAAGTTCAAGTTAAGTACGATTTCCCATGTAAACAAAAATTCCAAAGGTAACTCGACAGCAATTCACTTTTGATCGCATAGTACAATACTTTAAGCAATGAGAAAAAAAACGGAAAAAACTTGAAGAAAAAGACACACGCAGCAGTAGTACATGAAAGAATAATGGGCGATCAAAAATGAGTTGCTGTCGAGTCGCCTTTGGAAGTTCAAATTAAATATGATTTTCCATGTAAACAAAAATTTGAAAGGCGACTCGACAGCAACTCATTTTTGATCGCATAGTAGTATATTAACCAAATTAATAGAGGGGGACCGCTCATCACTTTTCAAACGCAGATAAACCTTCTGTCTTTTATTACTGGTTAAGAAATTAATACTTTTTAAAAGGGGAACAAGAAACAGTGCAATAAATTGTTTTATACCTTCTCCTTTTCCTTGTCCTTCTCCTTCTTCTTATCACTCTTTGTATCGGAAGCATCAGATGCGACTGAGGAAGTGGAATTGCGCCGCTTTTTGTCTTTATCCTTGCTAGCTTTCTTCTTCTCGCGCCTTGTCTTTTCGAAGGCTTCGATTAGATCGGGACAGTCGAGATTATCCTCCGGCTCCCAGGTGTTGTCGGTCTCCGAGTAATTCTTCCATTTGAGGAAATATTCGACTTTACCGTTTACTATCCTTTTATCGATAATCTTCTCGACCGAGTACTCCTCCTCGGAGTCGCTGCTTTTGTCCGCCTTTTTGTTTTTACCCATACTGAAAAAAACGTTAGGGAGTCAAGTTTGTTCGATGCTTCCCTCACCGTGCTAACGGTTTGCGTTGAATGCAACGGTAAAACGGTAGCTACGCGCGATGTTTAATAAATGAGCAGTAGTTTTAAAGGCTTACCTCAATACTTTTCGTAAAACTTGAGAAGCAAACACAAAAGACCGCTAAACGGCTAAATACAGGTACGCGTAATGGCGAAGATTTTATTACCAACGTAATTAATACCGCATTTTTAAACGAAAATCCCTAACAAATGGCGGTAAGCGGTGGCGTTGGGTTCAATGGTTTTAAAAGGTCAAGTCAGTGGCGTCCCTGTTAATTTTTATCAGTCCAAGAATACGACAAGTTTCAAATCCTTGGTGTTTCTGTTTTGTAATGTTAGTCAGTGCCTCTTCCTCTTTCATTTTCTTGTCCTTCCTCTATCAACCCTCTTCCCTCGCCCATCTCCCGCGGTTTTTGTGCTTTTCAGTGCTATCACTGAATAAGTAAATTACTTAACAACAAAGAACAAACAAACTTGTTCTGGGCTTAACAGATATAACATTAACGAAACGTAACTGCTAACTGCCAGAATCAGGAATTAGTACAGTACCATTGAATAAGTATTACCGTTGAGTGAATATTTATTACTCAATGGTATTATGACAGTACCTTTCTTTCAACTGCCACTGTTAAATTTGCGCATTTCTTCAATGGTGTCGTCATCTATCGGCGCATATAGAATGTTAAAGTACCAACGGCAACTTATTGTTTGTTTTTGGCAACATTGTATTGTAATGTAATATCTGTTTTGTTTTGGAGGTTATGGTTCAAAAGTTTGATAGCTTTTAAATTTAATTTTATAAAAATCGTAATTTACATAAGACATGGGAACAAACGTAAACCCGGATAAAAATCAGCTTTTAGCTGTTTTACAAGTTTTACGAAAATATAACCTAAAAGTATGTATTTACAATTAACAATGCAAAATAACTAAATAACATAATTCTAAGGGTACGGAAGAGTTGTTAAAGAAAGAAGCGAACATTGCAATCAATTTAGAACAAGAGAAAGTAGAATCAGATGTTAACAGTGTTCTAACTGGGTACAAAAGTGATGGTGATCCGGAAACGTACGAAGCGTCATATGTTGAGCTAAAGCACTTCGTTGAAAATTCTTTGGATATTTACAAGCACGAGTTAGGGATGATTTTGTATCCTGTTTTGGTTCATATGTATCTTGAGCTAGTTTATAACGGTCACACTGAAAAAGCCATTGATTTGATGCAAAAATTTGGCCCAGATCAAGACTTATACTATCAAGATGATTTAAAAAAATTGGCCCTGGTCACAAAAAGAGACCATATGAACGGAAATGAACTTACCGACACCTTTAAATCAAATCAATTTATCATACGCATGTCTCGTGATACGTTATCCCTACTCAAACGGCACCTGCATGACAAAAAGGAATCAGTACTCTTAAATATTATTCAGGAACACTTGTACTTCGATATGTATGAGGGAGTAGCACGAAATAAGGCCCAGATCGACGCGACTGCTGGTGCAGTTGTAGGGGAAGCAACTCGCTTAGGTACAACTAAATGTGTGTAGCACAAGTACATTGTTCTGTTCTAGATAATAAAGCCAAAGTGTATTACGGCATTCCCAAAGCACCTGATATACAGACATTGGCAGCACCTGTTGAGGATGAAGAAGAAGGCGGCGAACAAGAGACCCCCGACAAACCGAAGAAGAAGAAAGCAAAGAAAGATCCTTTATTTTCAAAGAAGACCAAGTCGGATCCCAATGCCCCACCTCCTGATCGTATTCCCATTCCGGATTTGTGAGTTTTCTAGTCGTTTATGTTTAGCCTAAGATTGGTATTTTCAGGAAAGACAATGACAAGGTTGAAAAGGTGAAGTCGTTTCGTGAATCGTGCAGGCGAATTACTTTAGGGCCAGAGACAATGCCTTCTGTGTGCTCGTACACATTACTGAATGCAAATTATACGTAAGTCTAGTCTTTATGTATGTGTCCTTTAGTGAAATCCGTCATTTCACTAAACTCTGGCCTAGTCATTTAGCTAGATAAGTGATATCATTTATTGATCTCGAAGAGGAAGGGAATCCAATCGTTTGTCCCTAGAAAGTACACGGATTTTACTAAAAGACTATGACATATCTATTAGAATGCACGTCAACACGCCCTCTATATGTAGTCAATTTTTAGGGTGACCTGTGCAGAAATTACTGAAGATTCAAGCATATTGGCAGTCGGGTTCAGTGATTCAATTGTTAAGGTATGGACATTGGTACCGCAAAAATTGAAAGCTATGAAATCCGCTGAACAGCTGCAGGATGTTAACACGGATGCCGAAGACGTTTTGGTAAGTCATTAAGTGTGGATGACACGATTTTACAGTTCGTCTGCTTAGGCTCGAATGATGGACGAGCGATCCGGCGAGAGTTCGCGATCTTTGGTTGGACACGGAGGTACAATCTACTCTGTGTCATTCTCACCTGACAGGACGTTATTGCTGAGTTGCTCAGAAGACAGCACAGTTCGTTTGTGGAGTCTACAAATTTGGACTTGCCTGGTTGTGTATAAGGGCCATATGTTTCCAGTTTGGGATGTTAAATTTTCACCATTGGGGTACTACTTTGCAACTGCGTCACATGATCGCACAGCACGTCTTTGGGCAACAGATCATTATCAGCCTTTACGTGTTTTCGCAGGACATTTTTCAGATGTTGATGTAAGTTAACAGTCCTCACACTTTGGAACACAGTTAAAAACAACAGTACAGTTATCAATATTTTAAAAAGCGCTTGAGAGAGACACGTGTATTGTTCCGTGGGAAAGAGAAGGACGACGCATAAGAGAGTGCGCATTCTCTTCATCGGATAGACGCAGACAGAAATATTAATTTTAATCAAGGGTAGTCTTTACCTAATTTCTGAAAAAAATATATTTCACTTGGTAAACAGATTAGAGAATCTTACACTATACTCTATTCATTTTAAGAAGGTAGCAGTAGGGAAGCTTTGACCTTCACTGTGATTGGTTAGTCTTACTCTAAAAAATAAAACGAGTGACAAATTTTGTAAGATGGTAATTCCTGATCCCAAAGAAACTGTCCAACTGTATTTAGCTGTTGATGTCAAAGATCAAAGCGTGAAATTGTTTAACCTTACTGACTATGGAACAAAGATACTAACAATATTCTCAATCTAATTCTTTGTTTTTTTAATCTTCCAGTGTATACAATTTCATCCAAATTCGAATTATGTGGCGACAGGATCGAGCGACCGCCGGGTCTGTTTATGGGATTGTGTAACTGGAAATCATGTACGAATCATGACTGGTCACAAATCGCCAATCTACGTTTTGGCCTTCAGTATTTGCGGACGTTTCTTAGCATCTGCTGGAGCCGATTGTAACGTACTAATTTGGGATTTAGCTCACGGACACTTGGTCGCAGAATTTCAAGGACACGAAAAGACCATCCACACGTTGACATTTAGTAGATGCGGTAATTTGTTAGCCTCCGGCTCCTTGGATCACACCTTGAAATTGTGGGACTTTAATAAACTATCTGAAGACACCAATTCGGAAGATGTTAACATATCGCATAATCCAGAAGTAAAAATGGGCGATTTGTATATGTTACGGAGTTTCGCTACAAAATCATCCCCTATTATTGCTTTACATTTCACTAGGCGTAACTTATTGTTAGCCGTCAGCATGTACGATGGAATTACTACTTAAATACTAAACTTCATTTATTTATAAAAATTACAGAAGTAGGTTAGGTTATCGAATGTAACACAGAATGAATTTATGTTTGTATTAAACGAATCTTTTGTCTTATATACATTTTTTAAAAAATCATACAATGCAAATGAGTGTTACCCTAAATTGATAGTGTAAACAGAAAGAAAACATTAAATGGAATAATTAACATTAAATTTGCAGATTCAATGCATTGTCCTTCGTCAGTAACAACACAAAGCCAAAAAACTAAGCTACATATATACAGTATTACCGAAAATGTAATATTTTGAACACTACTCAGTTTCTTAATTCATGAAATGTAGGTAAATTACCTAATAAATCACTTATTTAAACAACTTCCATACTTTCGTCAGTCTGTTCATCCACTTTTGTATTACTTTCACTTTCGTTACATTTATCTACTTCCATTACCATACTGTCTGACCCACTAATCACCGTCGATTCTTCTGTTATGGCAGTTTCATCGTTATTTTGTTGATCAGTCTCGTTTGTTTCTTCATTACAATTGTTCGTAGTTTCAACATTGTCAGTAGCAATTTCATTGCTGGTCTCTTCTGTGTCATTTCCATTCTCTTTACTAAAATCTTTGTCATTAGCAACGGGAATGTTATCATCCACAGAACTTTCTGCTTCTTTGTCAGGTATCCTACTATCCTCGTCATTTAAACTTTTAGTTACGTTCTCAGCTTCATCTTGTTTAACATCCTTATTTTCCTTTTCCTCTTCGTCGTTTATTTCGACAACGTCGTCCGATGTACCAATTTCCTTTTTAAACTTTTTACTTGGCTTCAATTCCTTCCTATCCAGACTCTTTTCCTTACTACTAGGTCGTTTCGTCTTCTTCGTCTGTGATTTTTTCACTTCTAGTACTTCATCTAGTTTCTCATCTACAGCATCGCCAGCCTGTGGCGTAGTATTTGAAGGTTCTTCAGGACGCCTGACTAATCCAAGCACGTCGAGCATACTGTGCGTTTTAATTGCCTTTTTCGCATCCTCTGCCGATGGATAGGCAGACTTCCGTTCACATTTGGCTAAATGACTGGCCAACATATTTCCTATAACAAATAAAAATTAAAGATCGAGAAGATTACTTCAATACTATACAGGGTGTTTTTTTGGGAGCTTTAGTTAAACGTTTCTGGGAAAGTAAAATAGGTAGGTTTTTGAAAATTTGTACTTAGGAGTTACGCTGAAGGCGGAATCGATGTAAAATATTTTCAAAATTGCCACACTTCCGGAAACACTGGAAGTAGATAGTAACTTCGTTATTTTAAATAGCAACCTCAATTTTTTATTGGGTTTTTGGATTCTACGTGAAATTCTTTGATACCCATATGTCGATATCTGCCATTTATGGTTTTTAAGTTATTTTGACTTTAAGAAAAAAAATGGCGGATGCAGATGGTACCTTGATAATTGATTACTGGAAAACGGTTGTAGTCATGGCAACCTATTTTTATCAGTGCATATAGAATGAATACAGCTTTCTTTTAGTGTACTTAAAAAAAAGTTAAGTTGCGTAAGACCGCCCCTATGGAGATCCAAATTTATGAAACTTCAAAGACTAAAGACTCAGTTTTTTTTTTAATGGAATCACCATTTTCTTAATATTGCATGAGATAAAGAATCGAAATGGGCATATTTTGACAATACATTTTCCTATAGCTATCTTTAACAGTTTCTGACTTATTCCCATATTATTGAATTGACACTATTTTTTTCGAATTTTCTTTTTAGTAGTCGGCCATGATTTTATAACAATTGAATTTTAAACAATTCTAGTGACAGTAATCCGTCACCTACTGTTATAGGTTAACATAAGTTTTTCAAAAATCGAAAAATGACCCGCAGTGGTTTCACCTATTTTTGAACTTAATTGTTATTTATGGTGAAATGGACAGAATCACGGCACATGCTTGCCGTACATTCATTCGAACACTGGAACGAAATTGTATGAATTTTGGAAATGTTGTATCCCCAAATGCACTACAAACCGTTGAAGTACAAGTGATACAAAGCTCTACAAGAGAATATTTAAGAAAATGAATTGAATTGCAAATGCAAGATTAACAAAATAAATTCCATGTAAAATATAAAAAACTTCGTTGAAACATTTTTTGTATGGAATTGTTGCTAGAACAGCATTATCTCTCAGAATTTTCAGACTTATATGTTGTTTAAGAAATTCAGTTGAATGACTCTGTCTAGGTTTCTCAAAAGCTTACCGTCCTATATCTTTAATAAATGACTTATTTAGACTAGAATCAATGATATTAAAGTATCCTTTCCTTGATTTGTTTAAAATTCGATTGTTATAAAATCATGGCCAACTACTAAAATGAAAATGCGAAAAAAAATGGCATCAATTCAATGAAATAGGAATAAATCAGAAAATGTTAAAGATAGCTATAGGACCATGTAATATCAAAATATTCCATTTCGATTCTCTATCTCATGCAATAGTGAGAACATGGTCATTCCATTTAAAAAAACTGAGTTTAAAGACTTTGAAATTTCTTAAATTTGGATCTCCATAGGTGCGGTTGTATGCAACTTAACGCCCTATTCATTCTCTTTGCACTGATAAAAATGGGTTGCCATGACTATAACCATTTTCAAGTAATCAATTATCAAGGTACCATCTGCATCCGCCATTTTTTTCATAAAGTCAAAATAACTTAAAAACCATAAATGGCAGATATGGACATGTGGGTACCAAAAGAACTGAAATTTCACGTAAAATCCAAAAATGCAATAAAAAATAGGGGTTGCCATTTAATATAACGAAGTTACTATCTACTTCCGGTGTTTCCGGAAGTGTGGCCATTTTGAAAATATTTTACATCGATTCGGTCTTCAGAGTAACTCCTAAGTACACATTTTCAAAAACCTACCTATTTTACTTTCCCAGAAACGTTTAACTAAAGCTCCCAAAAAAACACCCTGTATAGGGATGAACAATGAGAGGAAAAACAATCAAGGATTCATCCATTAATGGTGTAAAGGCAATGTTTCTTCCAACACTATAAGGGTGTTGGTGGAGGGTCATCATGACTTTCCAATCTTTTGTTTTATGCACTTTACATCACCGCAATAAACAATTGAGAACACCAAGTGGATTTTTTGTGGTAAATTCTGTCATTTTGTTTGTATCATTTTTAGATTTGCATGATGTTTATAATTATTTACTCCTATGCCAGTTCCTCTTTCCACATTCATTATACGAGGGTGTTTAATTCATAACAGGAATCATTAAGAAAACAAAGTGTCTTGTTCTTTTGAAGAAAAAAATGTCCATGTTTGCCGCTTGATAGTTTTATTAAAATTCCATATTACAAAAAAAAATGAGAAAAAAATCAAAGTTAAAAAAACTCAAATATTTTTTGTCGCCAAAACGGTTACTATAATCGGGCGAATGTACACTGCATAAACGATGCAAATTTCCAAAAATATTTCCATAAATAAGAAAGTTGACACTGCGCATGCACGCATTTTACATAAAGATATTTTTCTCCAACCACCTGAATAAGACCCTATTTTGTTACGCTTTTTGGTACAAAAATTGGGCGATTTCGGGAGTCGTCGGTGTCACCATGGTAACTGTCCAAAAAGTAGGTACTTTTCGGACTAGTCCAAAAAGTAATTTGACCTTCAAGACGAATGTTAACCAATCAAAAAATTACAAATACCTAAGGCCTGTTTAGAGTTTGCAAGTTTTATTGCGGGCAATAAAAATTGCGGCAATATTTATTGCACGCATGCGCACAAGTTTTATTAAATACTGTGCCGAAGAAATATGTGAACCATTACAGTACATCGTCAATAATTCCTTGCAATTTGGAGTATTTCCAGATAGACTCAAGACAGCAATAATAACGCCTCTACACAAAAGCGGCAACAAAAGAGATATGGCAAATTACCGGCCTATTAGCATCTTGTCTTCCTTTTCAAAAATTTTTGAACATGCTATGTCCAATCGAATAACTACCTATTTACATGAAAATGGACTCTTTTCAACTTCTCAGCATGGATATATAAAAGGTAGATCCATCGCTACAGCTGTTTTTCACTTTACCGACAAAATACTTAATGTTTTTGAGAATGGTAAAGTGGCACTGGGAATATTCTTAGACCTTTCAAAGACCTATGACCTAGTCGACCATGACGTGTTGCTAGACAAGCTGTTAAGGTATGGTATTAGAGGTACGGCTCATAACTGGATTGCGTCATTTTTACGGAACTGTAACCAAAAAGTTGTAGTACAAGGAGAAGCAGTCATAAGGGAATCAAGTACACTCTATACTACCATGGGCATCCCACAAGGAAGTGTAATTGGACCACTGCTATCCATTCTTTTGGTGAACGACATTGATTTAGTCTTACCCCAGGGCGATAATTGTTTAATTACTAATTACGCAGACGACTTTAACATCCTGATAGAAGCAGAGAAATTTGATAACCTAATGTTAACTAGCAACAAAGTGTTCGGTGACATGAGGTCCTATTTTAGTGCTAATCAACTCCTCCTCAACGAAAATAAAACACATTGTGTGCTTTTCAAATCTGTGTATTCAAATTTAAGTGTACCTGACGTAATTAATATTTGTGGTGCTGAGAGACGCTTGTGTGAGAACACTACATTTTTAGGAATAACGCTGCAATCCACTTTGAAATGGTCCGTGCATATAAGTAGAATCTGCATAAAATTAAATTCTGCATTGTACTCTATACGTGTCATGAAACCATACCTCAATGCGAATTTTGAAAGCCGGTTCAGATTTGGCATAATATTTTGGGGGCATAGTTCTGACTGTGAGAAAGTTTTCTTAATCCAAAAAAGAGTAATCAGGTCCATTTTCTCGTTATCATACCGTCAATCCTGCAGGGGCGTATTTAAAGGTAATGGCATTCTTACCGTCTCAGGGGTGTATATATTTGAAACATTAGTGTTTATGTTCAAGAATAAACTTTTATTTAGTCGCGATAAAATCGGACATAGTTACAATACAAGGAAGCTGGAGGCCTCGTACAACGTACCCACGCATAGACGAACTGACAGGAGAAGAACTGCTATTATTCTTGCATCAAATTTTATAATAGACTTCCAACAAATATACAAAATTTAAGTAGCCTTAATGAATTCAAAAGAGCGGTGAAAAACATACTAATTCAAATTGAACCCTACAGTGTGTCGGAATTTGTGGAGCACCGGCTTGGACTTTGATTGGTTTGATTATATGTATTGACAATACTTGCGTCAAATGTATTTCAATGTAATTGTAATTGTATACATTTTTCCGCAAATATATTATTTTATTATTATTATTATTATCAAGTGTACTTTTCGATCAGCTGTTGCAATTTTTATTGCGTTGCCAGAAGTAGATCCGGAGCGATTTTTACTGCATTGCACTAACACAAGACTAAACATTTTAATATTTAAGAAATATACCTACCGTCATCATCACTATAACCGCACACGCAGAACATTTCATGTGGCAATACAGATATGGGCAATGATGCGTTGAGTTTCTCGCACATGCCCATATGCGTTTCCATGGCTGCCTTACACGACGTTGAGTATTGACAATTTCTGCTGGGGCAACCATCTAACGACCTAAACGGGAACATTAGTCTCAATGACTCGACAAGAGCGCATACTTACTGGAAGTGTTGAGAAGCGTTAATCGGGAATTTACATTCTTTACAAACTAAATAACTAGGGGCACTAACAATGGTTAAATTAGAGAAATTAATCTCCCTTTCCGTGTCCTCCCACACCTGCTTGTCTTGTTTTGATTTAGGAACCATAAGGCCATTCTTCGGAGGCGTCCACGATATCAGACCGGACTTGCTACGCTGTGACGAATGCATGGTGATCTGGTGATCTTTGAGAGTATCTTTGTGTATAAACCATAGGGCACATTTAGGACATTTTTTCGCCATAGTCTTTTTCTGATGTTTTTGTAGATGTTGCATGAAATAGTTAAGATTCTGTGGCAGAACTCTGCCCGCTGTACATATACTCGTTGACTTCAAACAGAACGGGCACTGAATTGTTGAACCATTGTCATGCTCGCTGTAAAAGTGATCAATGACTTGGCGATGTGAGGAACATCTGTAGCTGCATGTGCCGCACTGATAGGGTAATTCGGCAGGTACATGCTCCTTTGACAGATGCTTGCCCAATGAGAATGAGTTAGCAAAACGTGTTTCGCAGATGATACAAATGTACGCCTCTTGAAAGCGCGTTTCCGAAGGATGTGATGATACAATGTGTTTCGCAAGACCTTCAGGTGATCCTACACTAGATAAACAATATCTACACTGTTGTATACCTCCAGTTACACTGTGGGCGTGCGAAAACAAGTGGTTCATTAGCCGTATATTGTTACTAAAATGACTTTTACACATTGTACACTTTAAGTTATACCCCAACTTTGGTGTTGAATTTTGTTGGGTGCCTTGAATGGTTCCGTAATAGTAATTTTCTAAGTGCACCATCTGCTCAGGTACATCGGGTGAAATTGTTCTTGGGGGCTTGGGTTGCATTTCTAAAGTGGGTGAGGGAGAATCCGATTTGAAATTAATGATTTTCCTCTGTCTGCCAGAAGTTCGTTTGGCACCACCAGAGGGCGTGTTTGTTTCAACAACCGGAGTTGGTGCTGGTTTGATAGTGACAGCAGGTGGGGGCGTCTCCTTTGTCATAATACTCCAATTCCTAAATGGATTATTCGACACTTTGTTTAAACGAACGGGCAGGGAATCTGCGGTATCGGCTCTGGTTTGTTCCGACAAATGCAGGAGAAGATTGTCGAAACATGCTGCGGCTGTGGTCCCATACCACTCTCTCCAGACCAATTCATCCAAAAACTGTTGAATAATCTGCCGAGATAGTAACGACAACGTATTTTGGAACATTCTTGGTACAATTCTTCGTAAATAATCCATTATCGTATGATTATTTTGGGATGCATCACTCGAAGTGGATTGGAGAACGTTAGCAAATCCGATAGAATTTAATGTCCCTTTATCTACAGTCAGATCGGTTACAATAATACTTTGCGGATGTACCCACTTAACGAGAGGTTCTAATATTTTTGCAAAACGCTTTTTGTAATTCCGATCACCGTCAGCTAAAGGTTCGACGGCTCGTAACCGAATTAACCGTGCTTCTGATTCAAGCAAACCAAGCACTTCAACTTTAACCTGTCTCTGTTGCCCATCTTGAGATGTCGTCCCCAATGATATCACACCAACTTCGACACGGCGCCCTGGACCCCCAAGCGGCTTAACATGAGAATGTAAAGCTACTGTACACATCGCCCGTAACCATGTATATATACCCTTCACGTAAAAGTTATCAACTTTAACCTGAAATATGCGGGTGTTAACAATGCATTCGTATGGTTGAATGGTAAATGTATCCTGATTAGATCTAGCCCCCCCCCATCACCAAACACTACTCTGAATCATTTTGGAACATTTGATGATCGTACCTATCAATGTACTACACGGTTATTATGTTGTCTACAACTGTATTTAATCACACAATCAACTAACTGATAACTTCTTAATGCAAGCTGTCAAATTAATTAATATTAGATGTGATCTAAAATTTACACGGCCTTCTATCAATCAAAATTAGCTTACTGACTTATTCAATAAATATAAGTTCTGTAGCATACATTTCCTATTTTCCAATTGTTTCCAAAATTTCAGCCACATGGGTCTGCTCCTTACAAAGTTATACCATTGAATAAAAACACTATAAGAAGCCTAACGCTTATGGAAGAAAGCGCGACAAATCCCCTTGCACCCGCATTGGTTGTGATCACCGAACTCTCTTTGCGGTAAATAGGAGGAAAGCAAATTCTCATTCTTCTCAGTTCAAGAATCGACACTATTGACAGTGTTTCCATTATATTCTCAGTTCAATCTCTGTCGCGCTTTATTTTCACGGGGTTAGGCTTCTTATAGTGTTTTTATTCAATGGTTATACGAAATGAAGGTTAATCAAATTAATGTTNCTATATACAGTGTGTCCCAAATTGGGTGGGATTGCATGGGTAACTTTGTTATTATTAAAGATAGAGAATTGGTTAAATGGGCAATGTTTTGCAGTTTTGGATGCTTATTTAAAATTTTCTTATGGAAATTCAAAATGTCGCATAGGTTCGACGTAAATTCAAAAAAACTAAAATTGGTCATTTCCTTGAATGTCTTATATCATCGAAGGTATAAGAGATATAAAAAAAAGTTTTATATAAAAGTGACTGTCTTTGATACGCTTAATTTAGAATTGATGTCAAAAAAAAATTCAAGATGGCTACTTTTGAGGAACATTTACCAACTTCCTAAAGTTAAATAGGCGCTATATGAGATTTTTAGATTACTTGATAGATTTTTTAATTCTCTTTTCAACGAGCCATCATAACATAAGATTGAAAATAAGATACCAGTTATATCAACGGTTTTTATATTTTAATCAAGTAGGCTGTGATGAATTAAAAAAAAACAAAACAAAATCTATTCGAGCCAACAAAACAATGAAAATAATTACATTAGATGTTTAAAAAATCAGGGGCGCACTCATGAGAGGGGGGTTTGGGCATTACAACTTCCTCCAAAATTTTATATAAGTAGGCCTAGAAAAATTTTGGTTTTTATGACATCACTTATTGACTATCTTATTATCCATACTTACATACCTACAAATGGTGGTATAACTACAAACTATCCCCTCGAAAAAATGTCATGCCATTATCCAGTTAAACACATTTCAAGACAGTTTGCTTTATTTTACCATTGATGCATTGTCCCAGGTCACATTTTGTAGGTCAGTAGGTGGTTTATCCGCAAGAATATCGAAACTAACAGTTTTACCAGTCCGAGTATATGGACAGATGAATCTTTTTCTAACTGCGGAGTGTTCAAATCGACATAATGAACACTATACTCGTCACAGGAAAACCTACATGATGTAGTTTCACGCCGAAATCAAGTAATATTTTTTTAAATTAATGTATTTTATGGCATAATGGGAAGTCATGTAATTGGACCGGTTAGCTTCGTTGGATCTTTAACTGCTCACCATGATTTACAAATTCTCCAATAAACTTCCTTAAAGGAGTTTTCCCGACAACGTATGTTTCGAAGAAAGGGTTGGTATATGCTACCTACCAACAAGCTGGCTGCTCAGGTCACAATTCACGAATTATGTACAGTACATTAAATTATAAAAGTAAGTACTTAATTAAAAAATAAAAGTAAAGTGGAAGTAGCTACCACTACAATAATAATGATAATCACTAAACTAAACTGTCTTGAAGTGTGTTTCACTAATAATGGCCAGTATTTTAAACATTTGGTGTAATTATTTTCATTGTTTTGTTGCCTCGAATAGATTTTGTTTTGTTTTTTTTTATTCGTCACAGACTACTTGATTAAAATACAAAAACCGTTAATATAATTGGTATCTTATTTTCAATCTTATGTTATAATAGCTCGTTGAAAAGAGAATTAAAAAATCTATCAAGTAATCTAAAAATCCAATATGGCGCCCATTTAACTTTAGGAAGTTGGTAAATGTTCCTCAAAAGAGGCCATCTTAATTTTTTTTTTACTTCAATTCGAAATTAAGCGTATCAAAGACAGTCACTTTTATATAAAACTTTTTTTATATCTCTTATACTTTCGATGATATAAGACATTCAAGGAAATGACCAATTTTAGTTTTTTTGAATTTACGTCGAACCTATGCGACATTTTGAATTTCCATAAGGGAATTTTAAATAAGCATCCAAAACTGCAAAACATTGCCCATTTAACCAATTCTCTATCTTTAATAATAACAAAGTTACCCATGTAATCCCACGCGATCTGGGACACACTGTAGGTATATGACAAATTTCGCTTTATTTTCCTGCGTCGTATTAATTCCTCATTTATATCGCGTTGGATTAATTTACATATAATTCCTGGTGGCGGCTGATTTAATTTTTGCGACCCTAAACGGTGACAAGCATCGATGCTGTTACCTGAAATGGTGATTCCAAGCGCTTGACCGACTTGGAGAACAATGTCTTTACAGTTTTCATGCTTTAAGGTAGGAATCCCCTGTATTTCCAAAGTGTTTCGACGATTATATTGGACCGTGGCGTCTAACTGAATTTTCAATGCTTCAACCTCCCGTTCCAATCTTAGATTGTTGGTTTTTATGTCTTCAATTCTCTCGACATTTTGGTCAATACGGCCGTTGATTTTGACTAACTCCAGTGAATTTTCGTCCAACTTAGCATGACAAGATTGAGAGATGCATTTATTTGTTGTTCGGTAATTTTGTGGGATGCTTCAATCTGGAGCAACTTTTTCATTAAATCCGCATTGGATGGTTCGTAAGCGCTCTCCTGGCTAAAATTAGCTTGCTTCATCATGGTGCAATCCAATTATCCAGATCAATTAATACGATATCCGATTCCTTTGGAAATTTGTTTTTTGTTAATGAAAATTTGTGTAGTCCATTCTTTGGAATTTTCGGAAATTGATCGAGGCATAGTCTAATTAATTCTCCCAAATTATTAAAGTTAACATTGAGATTTTTCAAAAGCCGGACGTATACGAGGAAAATAATTACAATTCTTAATTTAAAGGTTGTTTTGAGCTAGCTGTGGGACAGGTCTTTTGTGGGTGGCGCATGACCGCATGCCAATATTCCCTAATATTCTATTATTAGATTCTACTTACTGACGTTCTCCCCCTTCAAAGTGTCCTGACATTTCCCTGAAATTATATCACCTTTTCGCATTATATGGTTTTATCTCGGATCGTCCACAGATTTCTTTGGATTTTCTCTCTATCTCTATATATGAAAAAATACCCCAACATTTCTGGAAAAGACGTTATTCTCTTAGCTTAACAAGAAAGGATAAAGATAAAAATATCGTCCAAGTAATGTTTGTAAAGTGTATTATTAAATAAATTAAATGCGGTTGATGACGTCTATGTTTACAATATTAAAACCATGATAATTCGGGGAATCCTCAGTACCTATATCTACTGGGTAATGTTGAAATGATATTTATGCTAAACATATTTTTGTGGGATTGATGAATTGTGCAAATAAATTAGTAATCTAGGGGAAATTTAGATAGGAACGTAAACTGGACGTAGGAACTTATGAATAATTGGGCTAAAAATGTAGGGATTTTTAATACTATCTTTTTCTTTCCGCGTAATCCAACTGACTACTAATCCGATAATGACTGTAATTAGCGTTCCAATGAAGTAATAATAGTGGAACGAGATTTTTGCCAGGGAAAATGCTTCTTCGTGCTCCACTGATCGCAACTCGTTAGCGGAACTGGAAACAGGAATTGTGTAATAAACTTAGGGATACGTGGAAATGCATACCTGTTTGTGTTGATGCTAAGAAAGGAGTAGATATCGCAGCCGTACGTCCTCATTTCTTTGGTGTTGTACACAAGGGATTTATTCCAAATGTCAACCTGATGCTGAACAATGATTGACGACATCACCAGTACCGAAACTAAAGCACCAGTGAGGGCCCCCTGAAAAATTTAGGTCAGTTTTACAGTAACCATTGCGTGACCTCACCTTTTTATTGGCCACTGGGAATAAAACCCCGAGTGTAAATAGGCCAAGTACCGGTCCTCCAGTTATACCGTACGCGCATTGGAAGAGCTCAAGCAGAGAACCAAGCCTGCCAATTATCTGCACTGCGGCCACGCTAATCATTGATGTTGCAATTATAATACTGATAATAATATAGTTGGCATCCTTTTTGGAGAATTCACGCGTTCTACATGGGGCAATAATGTCATCGAAGGTGTCTGTGGCAATTTTACTTAAAGCTACGGACATGGTGCTGAAATTGAACTACAGACGATATTCTAAGCCCGTACAGATTCGCATACTTTAAAGCCGTACTGAACAGACCCGCTATAAACAGACCGCTCAGACCAGGACATTTGGAGGCAACCTCCAAGACGAAGTAGGGGAGTATTTCGCTGGCATGCGTCATGTACCCCATGGAAAGCGGATCGCAGTAGAAGTACTTGGCAAACATGATCAGCCCAGAGAAGCAACTCACCAGCTTTGCCAGTATCGCTAATACTACAAAGATCACCAGTACCCTAGAAAGCAGGTCTAACAACTTTGAACCACTAGTGCCAATACCAACCTCCTTGCATCACTGATCGACGAAAACGAAACAAAGCGTTGTACACCCGATGGGTTAACAGCAACAAACCCCAGCCAAGAGAAGGTGTTACCAATAATAACCGACCAAAACGTACACCGAATCATTGGATTTAGGTCCATACTGCAACACTGAAACGTGGATCTTCACCCAGATTTGCACAAAACTCACTTAAAGAACTCCAAGCGATTGCCCTCCATCGATTTCTGCCACACTCTCGAAACTCCTCCCACAGACACAATACCCATAAAGAGAACAATGACCAACGCAAAGACCGTTATCGCTAGCTGAAAGGCGTTGAGCCATTCTGTAGTTCCCATTCTCACAATCGTTGCGTACGAAACGCAAATTAAAAACATCACTGACGCAATGACGTTCAAGTTCACCCCGGAAACTAAATCACAAGATAAATTATCTTCACAGATCAGCTCACTTACCTTGAGTTAAAGCCAGAGACGGCACGTAGATGATTAATGGTAAAGATAAGCAGAGACCAATACTGTTGAAAATTGATGCAACCCTTCGAGTTCCTTCATCAAATCGTATCGCAAGGTAATCTACGGGATTCTTCAATTGCAACTCGTAAAATACTGGCAGGTAGACGTAATTGTTGATAATACCCATGATCATGATGGAGAAGACCATCATAGATATTTGGGTACCGTGAGTGTATACCTCCGAAGGAAATCCCAGCAGAGATAGACCTGAAACCGTACTGAATATGATGTTAGGGTGAAATGTTGAAGATGTCCTCACTACCTAGCAACTAGGCAAAGTGCCACCGGTAGTACTCTGGCCTTGGTGTCGTCCTTAAAGTACTCACTTCCGGTTGCGCGTTTAAAAGATCGAAGGGAAATGCCCGCGATGCAACTAAAACCGAACATCACCGTGAAAACTGCGTAATCAATGTAAGAAAAGTATAGGATTTCCATTTTGCGCCCCTAAACTAAAAAAAACACATTGACCGGTTGTACAAACTGAGAAAGATACATACGCTTTGAGGAAAGTCGTGGAATCCTTTGACCACTGGAGTACGCTTCCCCAACGCGTTTAGGCTATCGTTGTTTATTTAAATATTTGTAAACAACGATTGCGTGAGTAATGAACTTACCGGATAAACCCGTCTGTTGATATCTGCTCGAATTGCAGATGTAATGTAGTTGAGCAACCCATTGGTGGCGCCAGAGACGAGTTCACTGTTGATGGAAAAAAACCCCTCGCAATGCAGTATCGTCCCTGATCTTATTTATTTAAAGTCATCCAATAGTGTATGAACCTATTTTTCCTATTTATTGATATAAGATACTATCAATAACATGCGTAAAACAAAAATATGCAGAACTTTGCACAATCGTCTCAAATGAAAGTTTCCATGCGGCACATTTCAAGGATTACTTGGATGTGTTGTCGTTGAGGCTGTGGTTAGTTTTACCAATTAAGGGTTTTCAGGAAAGAGAAATTCATTACCTATACATGAAAATTGGTACATAAACACTTTCCGTTCTTTTTCATGTCGCTTTCCGTGGTGGCGGTAAAGTTTTCATTTGTCGCATTCCAACAGTCATATTCTTTTCAGAAATGAAATACATAACAATAAGAAAAAAACTTTTATCAGGAGAGTATTTCTAGTACTTTCTGGATTTATCAAGATCAGGTTCAGGGGATTTATTGCTGATCGGGATCTTTTTAATGGTGGGATATGTATAATAAAATTGTTCTTGGAGTATTGACTACAGTTAGGTACATGATAGGATATGTCAATTATCATAAGTTAAATGTTATCAGTAATTATATTGATACAGTTAGGGAGTTTGGCAATTTTTGTAGTTCTTCGATGTTTGGAGTTTGGCGATGCAAAGGAAACGTCTCGTGGTAATGCGACCACCATTGCCACAGACAGAAGAAAATAACACAAATAGGGAAGAAATAGTTAGAGGATTGGAACAGTTGGAGCAGCAATTGACAAAACGACGAAGGCCGCGATGCTCCGCTAGGCTGTGGTGAAGATTCGTACTGCTATATCTGTAAGCAACTCCCATAAACCAAGGAAAAGAAGAAAGCACCGAAGAAATTCCAGGACCTAATATGTAAGGGAATACAACGCAACCAATTTAAAAACTTCATGGATATCTCCAGAAACTCTGAAAAAAAGTATTTCAACGAAGGATTAGAGTCTAGGCGATAAAGACATCTAACTGAACATTTTGACATTTTGAGGTGGAAAAGAAAAAATGGTGGAATATGTTCAGTTAGGTGTCAGAAACAACATATTAAGAATCCCACCCCCCAGACCCTGTGCTAAAGGCTCCAGCCACCCCACCATTCCCCAAAAACCGTGTTTTCGCTCTTTTTGGCTGATATCTCGCGATCTATGAGGTCTATATGAAATATTTTTAGCTGAAAATATTTCTCGGGAAATTTTATGCAACGCAGATACTCAGAAGTTAGCCTAGGCTAATATATCGCGACCTTTAGGGCTAGATGAAATATTTTTAGCTGAAAATGCTCCTCGTGAAATTTCTTACAAGGTAGATACTCAGAAGTTAGCCTAGGTGTACCTCTTAGCCTAGGAAATTCATAAAAGGAGACGAAAATCATCAATTTTCGTGGCTTTTTGCAAATATATCGCGACCTTCAGGGCTAGATGATATATGTTTAGCTGAAAATGCTCTTCGTGCAATTTCATACGAGATAGGTAACTGAAGAGTTGGCGTAAATTCACCTTTCACCTTCAACTTTCATGTGCGAGGAAATATTCATTGTAAAACAAAATACTTACCATTTATGTACCATTTATTCACGTAAAAACAGTATTTTCTAATTAAAATATTCACACATTCATTTATACCTCAACGTAATCATTATCCTCTGCAGATTCCACTTCTTCAGGCTCTTCGGCGTCCTCTAGTGCTAGTGGGTCGTCTGAAATTACCGACTCGTAGTTCTCCTCGCCTTCCGCTTTACCTGCATGGGCACCCTGAAACGACGACGTCGCATTTAGGCACGATGTTCCATGACACTGGACGCAGAATTCGTTCTTCAGACCTACAACAAGAAGCATTATGTCAAAAAAATTTTATAATTAAGTATACGAATATAATATTCTCTCGTGTGTCCTAACTCCTAAGTGTCGGGTAGAGAAGGTTTACCTGATTTTCTGAAACAGTTGCAGGAAATCAGGTAAACCTTCTCTACCGGACACTTAGGACACACGAGAGAATATTATAGGTAATCGTATACATATAATTATAAACATTTTTTTGACATAATGCTTCTTGTTGTAGGTCTGAAGTGTAATGAACTCTGCGTCCAGTGTCATGGAGCATCGTGCCTAAATGCCACGTCGTCTCTTCAGGGTACCCATGCATCAGGTAAAGCGGAAGACGAGAACTACGAGTCGGTAATCTCAGACGACCCACTACCACTAGAGGACGTCGAAGAGCCTGAAGAAGTGGAATCTGCATCTAGTCTATAACTTTTGATTGAGAAGTCTGATCCAAAAAGTACGAATTGATTTGGATTCTACGCACACAAATTAATAAGAAAAAGTGTTTTCCCCGGAAATTTTGCTGTAGTCGATTTTTGGTAAAAAAGGAAGGTTATACACTGCCTTTTTTTGAGCCCAGAAAAAAAAATTGTCTCAGGTCGACCCGGAAACAATTTTCTTATAGAATGTGGCCTGTAGAATCCATAATTTCAAACAGTTCCAAGATTGGGCTACTAGTTCAAAAGTTACAGCCCTTTGAATTTTTTTTCAAATTGGTTTCTACTCTATAACTTTTGATTGAGAAGTCTGATCGAAAAAGTACGAATTGATTTGGATAAGTATAAGGATAATGATTACGTTGAGGTATAAATGAATGTGTGAATATTTTAGTATGAAAATACTGTTTTTACGTGAATAAATGGTACATAGAAATACTTTGTTTTACAATGAATATTTCCTCACACATGAAAGTTGAAGGTGAAAGGTGAATTTACTCTTCAGTTACCTATCTCGTATGAAATTGCACGAAGAGCATTTTCCGCTAAACATATTTCATCTAGCCCTGACGGTCGCGATATTTTTGCAACAAACCGCAAAAAAAGCACGAAAATGATGATTTTCGTCTCCTTTTATGAATTTTCTAGGCTAAGAGGTACACCTAGGCTAACATCTGAGTATCTACCTTGTATGAAATTTCCCGAGAAATATTTTCAGCTAAAAATATTTAAGTCAAGTATTTGGAAGCAGTTTACTGACTTTTGCTCTGAAAAAAGTCATGAATTCGATAGGGAAAACATATCTGTGGAGGAATTGGCAACGATTATGGAAGATTATGGATTTAATATGCGCAAGAAAAATTCAGAAGATTACAAGGAGACTGTTGTCAAAGTGTTGTAGAATTCTACTGCCAAACAATTGCAGGAATATTTTATGAAAAGTACAAACGCAAATTTGGCCCCTTTTCGGATGTGGAGTTGGCAAATGCTAGGTCTGCACGAAGGGCCAAACGTCTAAAGTTACAAAAAATCCCTTAAAAAAGGAGGGCAAGTGTATCAATCTTATCAGTAACGGAATTGAAAAAAATACTTGAACTTTGGAATGAAGAGGCCCCACAGGGGCTGCAAAACAAATTTTTTCACGTTGCTGCTCATCGACTAGCTTGAAGGGGTGGAGACGGGGCCTCAGCATATGTTGAATATTTTGCAGAAGAAACTGATCACGACGGGGAGGGTACTAGGGGGTTTCGAATATAATTTAGGGTGACAAATCAACATCAAAGTAGTGCTAAACTACGGTATACTATTTATTCTGTATTCTATTTCGTTATTTGTTTCTTATAGTAATCACGAGACAGGTATGTATAAAGTATCTGTGCCATTGTGGCGTATTAGACCGGAAGCGAAAATTGTTCGTTCGTATTAGTATACGAATTATTTTATAAATTAATTAATTTGTTTAACTGAAGAAGTGAAGTGAGAACATGGCAGTTTGCAACGTAACTGATTAAATTCTTGTGTGCCCATACTCAGTAATCATCCCCAGATACCACGTTTTTAACCGTTTCTTTAAGAGGTCCAATTTCTTGGTCTTGTGCCTCCTGTACTGGTCTACAGTATTTGCGTACAATGGGCGTGAGAAGTTTTGGATTAATCACTTGGTTATCTTCCGTTTTAGTTACCCAACTGACCACAGCTCCGATTACTATCGTGGTCATTGCTCCTATTAGCTCGAAGTACTGAAACGAAACTCGAAACAACCAAAACGAAGTTTCTGGTGAAGGCCTAAAAAAATCAAAAAAATTTCTTGCATCGTGTCAAAGAAAAATACTCAACGGTTGAGGTGTTGCCGTAACATTCAAAGTGAAATTGCTGAAGGTGGTGGTGTTACATCCGTATGTATGCAACGATTTTGGGCTATGGTGAATGAATCCGTTTCGGACGTAGATGCTGTTATTTACCACTATCACCCCCATCAATAAAACCGATGCGATTGCGCCAAGAAACGCGCCCTAAAATTACTTTATTTCGAGTTACTGTGAACTGTACTCATATTACCTTAGAATTGGCAAAAGGAAGCAGTACGCCCAAAGTAAATACCCCGAACATGGTTCCACCGGTAGTACCCCTAACGTAGTAGCTTAGCTCAAAGACCGTGCCACCATTTTCCAGTAAATATATAAAAGCTATTGACAACAGCCCAAAAATTACAACTAGCAGCTTCATAATAAAGCTAGGGGCTTTTCTTAAAAGCTTTTCGCTAATAATCCATGGAGCGATATCGTTGTAAACTATTCCGGACAGCGTATTTAGTAACGTCGAATATATGCTGAAAATACTTCGCTAATCAATCATTGTTAGTATTTAATTACCTTAAAGATGATCCAAAGAACGCCGCTAAAAATAAACCATTAAATCCCGGAATGGACGTAGTTAGTTCGGTTATGAAGTACGGAAGGACTTGGTCTGCCTTTTTAATCGCTCCAATTGACTTCGGATCGCAATCAAAATATTTTGCGTACATAACCAACCCTAGTGTCATGCACAAGACTTTCGCTAAAGTATAAATCGTCGAATATGAAGCGATTAAGCTACAAGTTCATTCGGATTTCCACAATTGTCATTAAGCCTAACTCACCGAGGTATTAATCGCCTAGGTATTGTAGAATATCTCTGAACCTCGTGAGGCGACGTGCAAAGAGTTACGCATGAGGTAGCCGTGGATCCCAGCAAAATCGTCCAAAAGCTCACTCTAACGGTCGGGTCAGGGTTGAAACTATGAAAGAATAGAGAGCGTCAATGTTTTTGATAGTTATAGGTAAGCGTACTCAAAAATTTTTAGCCTGTCACCATCGCTTGCACGATGGATAACTTCGCTAACGCTTCCGGTTGATACAATTCCCATTACTATAAGCGCAATTACAAGAGTAATGGTAATGGATAACTGCACCACATCGCTCCATGTGACTCCTTTAATTCCTCCCAGGCTGGTATAGAGCATACATACACATGTCATGACCGAGGCAATTATATATAGGTTAACGCCCGTTGCTAAAATACGGTTTTGTGTTTTCTTTCAAATTTCGCATCGAATTACCTTGGCTAAATGTAAGCGAAGGAGTGTACATACACAAAGGAAGAACGCACATATACGTCCCTACTGCGATCAACATGATCAACTTCCTTAAAAAACCATTAAACCTCATTTCCAAGTACTCGAAGATGCTGGTCATCTTCAAGTTGCTAAAGACAGGCACGTACAAGAAATAGTTAGCTAAACTCGCGAGTGCTATCGAAAAAGTCATTAGTATAACTTGACTTCCATGGAGATACACCTCGGTCGCTAACCCTACGATTGAATGGCTGGACAGTGCACTAAAATTTAAAGGTAGAATATCGTCGACCACCACCTTAAGGTATACCTTGCGGTTAAACTTATACTTACCGCAAACCATTTCATGTTTTTCCCACCGAAGAGGTAGTCCTCGATTGTCTTCTGTCTTGAAAATAATCCGAAATATAAACCTACAATGCAACTTATCGCGGTAACGATCGTGAATATTGCATAGTCGATCCATGTGAAGCCGTTCGTCGCCATTTTAAGCTAACTGAAACTCGATTAACACGTTTGAATCTATTGGACTAAATTAGTTTACCTACTTTAAGAATCTTGCATATTCGTTTTGATTTGCATAAGTTAACATACATATTATTCGAAAATGCGTAACAAGGATTTCACAGAAAGAGCCAGACAACATCATGCAAATTTGGTATAATTATGTTCTTGGCCACTTTACTACTGAAAGACTCACGAAGGATGTTGTTCTGGTAGCTTATTCTGCCTTTGAGTGATCAAGTTTAATATGGGCATTTTTTTAGTATGTGACGTATTTTTAAAACATGTTTAAAAGGAATACTAGCAGATACTTCATTGTTAATGAATGTTAGGACGTTTGTCAAAAAATATTTCTGCCTTCTGAAAGTGTCCGCCAAACTCCCTGGGAATTTCCATGTACTGGGAAGGGAGCGTTGCGTAACTACTTACCGCATACATATTTGAACAAGTTGTCACTAAAACAAAATTAACTTGAATGAATCAAGCGGAACCTGAAGAACGCGCATTCGAGAGTAAAATACCACCTTGCTTGGGAGAAGCTATAAAAACAATTTGAACATTTAAAAAAAGCCCATGGAAAATGCTTGTCTTTGCTGTAACATTATACTTTCAAAAATAAGAAGAAAGAGTGCATTGTGCACATTTCTAATTTTCCTTCGGATTTATAAAAAGAAATACTTTTACTTTCCCGGAAACTACTCAGTTTCTTGAATTGTTCTAGTTTAGGGGCAGAATCCCTCTCTTTTCTGAGCTGTCTTCTTATCACCCTCCAGCCTAGACTTTCTGATGCCCCACAGTAGAGTTCCGGTTCAATCTGGGGATGGTTGGTCCTGGCCCTATCAAGGCAATCAGCCTCCTAGTTACCTCATGGCTTGCCACCCACACAAACTAACACGATTACGCCTGGCTATTTCTTCCAGTTTTGTGTGGCATTCCACGAACAGTTTATTGTGGTCAGGGATAAGGCTGATAGAGCCTTGAAAATTGTCTGATGGTCCAAGCAAATGTAAATGCGCCCTTTGACCACAATTCCCCCTGCGCACCTATTTATAGCTATATCCTGGACTGGAAATACTGTAGGAGTGGTTCTTAAGACTATTAAGAGAGCGTAGTTCGGCGCTCTTATGCCTATTCCCCACCTCTTCCTTCGAGTTGGAGCCATCTGTGTGCCAGCATAAAGCTCCACCATGTGGTCTGAGATATGTACTCAGGAATGTTTAATTGTTGTACAATCTGCAATATGATTGCTCACCTCTAAGTGAAGAGGCCCAGCGAGACCTCCATGGCAGCTGTGGGTGTAGTGCTCATTGCTCTAGTAAAACTCGGACACGTTGGAGCATGTTTAGTTGAGTCTGGGGGCTACTTTTTCTTCAGCTTTGGACCACCATACCACTGCAAGGGCTTTTATGCAACGTCTTGTGCACTGGTCGGTATCTTTGTCTTTTACTGCTTCATCAATGGATTCCTATGAGGCGCAGTTGAATGCCCCCCCCCCCATTTTCCAGGAAATAGACTAAGGTCGATTCTTTTAGCGTGTTTTTCCCAATCTTAGCTATCTAGTTGAGGTTATAAAGAATGGTTTCCGTAGAGCGTCCCTTTTGGTATGCACGTTGATTGGAGTGAAGGGTTTCTTTCATTTAAGACTCTTCCCTTGTAACCTCTCCCTGAAAGTGGGCGAGGCTTTGAGAGGTCCTTTTCTACTCTCCCCATCGTTTTAAAGATGAAAGGTAGGTTCCTGAGACTCTTACGCGCCTTAGGAATAAAAACCACATCTACAATTTGTTGGCAGAACGGGAAGTTGGAGGCCTCCTGATGTCCTGTGGTCAACAGAGCCCGGGAAGCGGGTTCGCATCAGGAGCTCTATAGCTGAGCCAGTGTGTTCCCCCACTGGTTTTCTTCTCTTGTAAGAGTATCTTCCGTAAGCGAGAGGCTATGGGAATTTCTTCTATCGTCTCATAGATCTCTCCCATAACGCTCCTTTTCCTTCGAAGTCGCCTTATCATACTCAGTGAGGAACGTTCTATATTCATCTCAGCAACCATTGCGCTTGGCTTTGTTAAAAACTCTTCTGGTGGTTTCCTGAGCTTCCCTAGCTCATTATTCCACCAAAGATTGTTTTTATTTGCTTTAGCCCGCTTCAGCAAACAACTCTCCTCAAAACAGAAGAGAAGAGCATCAGTGAGCAGTGTGGCAAGTCTTGATCCATTACCCCCCTGCAGAATCCTCCGGTGTTGCTTTTCAATAGTTCCACGTACAGTGCCCAATTTGTTGTACGAGGATCTCAGTATGAATGTTCGGTTAGTTTCTAAATCTTTATACTATGTGGTCCGATAAAGAGGGCGCGTCAGAGACCCTCCATCCCATTATTCTTAATGCTAGAAAGGAAGAGCAAAAGGTAATAGCCAGGACTTCTTTCCTGTTCCTGGTTACAAGTGTGTCCGTGCTGACCAAGTGGAGGTGGTGTGAGGAAGTAGCCTTTTTGCCTTGCAGTATCTGCTCAGCCTCCGTACCTTCGTGGCGGAGGCACTGCTGGCTCGTTCTCACCCGAAGCATACACTATTTTGGAAACACCGGAGCTCATTGGCGCGTCGACCACCACAGACACCAGGTGTCTCTTGTTATGAACTCTAAAGGAGGGAAGGCTGTTACGAAGGCCTTTACGAAAACCGCTGCCCTGGGGCAATTGTTCCCTCTTTCGTTTCTGAAAAATTAGGATAGCCCTTCATAAGAGAGTTAATTACCCATGGTTCCTGTATAAGGGGCCATCTAAATATTCTTTGGTGAACGTTGTGCACAGTGCGCTGGCTCCTTTCGCCCTTTGTAGGTTCACCTGTATAAATTCCACGTCGGTGCCTTACACTTGAGCAGAAACCTTTCCTTTGGCTTTAGTTGCCACACGACCAGGTCTGTCTCGTTGGGGCAGTTCAGCTTTTCCCGACTTCCATTGAAGTCAACTAGGTGAGACCTGCTTTGAGTGTTCCACGTTCCACCAGAGGCTTTTTGGGGTTTTCGCATTAATGCCTGAATTTTGGTTATGTAACCATTTTAAAATGTGGTCTGGTCGACTCTTCTGCCTCTCCCTGAAAGTGAGCGAGACTTTGAGTGATCCTTTTCTTCCGGAAGTTCAAGTTGAGCTCCTTACCACAGTTTGACAGTTGCACCGTGGTTTTTCAACCACTGGACTGTCTCCACGTCCATACAGGAGAGCATTAGCCAACCATGTTTGGTAACCATTCGTAGAAACAAGTCTTTCTCTCCCCTTCACCGTCAAATATCGCTTCGATTATGTTGGCTTTTAATAATTTCAACTTATCATAGAGGATGATATCCAGATTATGGTCTGTCGAGATGATCCCTACTTTGATGCGCTGTAAAGCTTCCCACCTATCTCCTTAGAAAGAGAAATTGAGATGATTGACCGGGTTTTTTTAGGGCATTATCTGATTCTCTGCTCCTTTCCTTACTATTCGCTCCTTGAGCTTGCTGACCCTCCTGAGGCTTTTGTTGGATCTTGTTTGACTTTGCAGCCATGACTCCAGCCTCCTTTGAGTTGTGTCCTGCAGCTATTAGTTTTTTGAACCGTTTGCTCCACAAAGTTTTATTTGTGGGGTGGGCTTAAAATTTCATGGTCTCCACAGTTGTGTTTAATTCACTTGTCTCCCCCTGAGGCTACTGAGGCTCTATTACCCGAAGCTTCGGAGTCAAGTGTACCCTCCGAGGGAGGGATGATGACACTGTCTAGTCTGATCAGTGGTGGTTAAAAGTAGCGACTCTTCCGTGGTTTTTAGGGGAAAAAATTACTATTATGTTATGGTTTTGTCCGTCTGTCAATCTTTTCCTCATGAACTAGCTCGAGAACGAAAAGAGACGGCGATCTCAAACCTTCGCCAATCGATTTCTACGAGTTCAAGGATCAGTGCTATTGAATATGAGCCGGATTTCCGAATACGGCCCAATTCCGCTACTGAAAATCGTATGCGATTCTTCTATTACAAAAACATATCAAAGTGATTCGGTCCGAGCTCTATGAATTATTTTCTAGACATCTGGTCTAGGATTTAGCCAGTGCGCCTGCTTGTTTTTCGTCTCGCTATATGAAAGCTTGTGAGTGACCTTAATCTTCTGAATCTTTGACTCTTCGTTATATACAGGACACGTTTTAGATATGGCGCTTTGGATCCCTGGCAATTGGGCCACTCGAACGTCCAAGCCGACCTTTTTCTATAAGTACACCTTTCTGTATATTTACAGATGGCTGAGACGTGACCAAAACGCTGACAATTAAAACATTTGTTATATAAGGGCCAATCTTCAAAGGAAAAATGCCGGCAGGATCGTTTTGGGTAAATACGGGGTATTAAAGGAGAGCAGAGAGGCTAGCTCCTTGGCTTTGCAAGTTCTCTTTTATTTCTTCCAGAGTACAGCTCAAAATCTATAAAACGTTTAACTTCCAACACCCTGGGTTTTCCCATTTCACACGAAGGGTCGACATTTTTTTAGTTTCTATGTAAACTACCAATTTTGTAAAAATTATGATTTGACGTTCGGTTCGCTCTACATGAAAACTTACTATATTCTCCGGTCCCTTGAAAATGTTAATTTAAAATGGTTAGTTCAATTTGTAAATCCAAAAGCTAAAATAAAAGACCAAACCCTCCAGAATCGTTCCAAAAAATGACAAAGGTCCAGTGTTGATCCTGGAATAATGGACCTTTAGTAATAACGGCCTGATGAACCTAAAGTTCTCGATATCCGGCTACACAGCTTCTTCGTCGAAATTCAATTTAAAAATTTCTTAACGTCATGATTTCTGGTATATCCTCATGTTTGAAGATACAAACAAACAATGGCAATTAATGTAACTGTACTGGTAATGAATTGGTTTGAACGACAATGGAAAACTTTTTTATTATGTTATTGTCAAAATAATCATTTGTTTAAAGTTATAATGAAAAAGTGTAATTGAAAACAAGACAGTTTGCAGCGGAATTTAAATCTTGTGTCACATCCTCATCCGTGTTTAACAGTTTCATTAATGGGTCCAATTTCATGATCCTGTGCCTCTTCTACTGGTCTACAGTATTTGCGTACAATGGGCGTGAGAAGTTTTGGATGAATCGCTTGGTTATCTTTCGTTTTAGTTGCCCAACTGACCGCAGCTCCGACTACTATCGTGGTCATTGCTCCCATGAACTCAAAGTACTGAAACGAAACTCGGAACAACCAAAACGAAGCTTCTGGTGAAGACCTAAAAAAATCAAAATGTCCTCTTGCGTTGTGTCAAAGAAAATACTCAACGGTTGAGGTGTTGCCGTAACATTCAAAGTGAAATTGCTGAAGGTGGTGGTGTTACATCCGTATGTATGCAACGATTTTGGGCTATGGTGAATGAATCCGTTTCGGACGTAGATGCTGTTGTTTACCACTATCACCCCCATCAATAAAACCGATGCGATTGCGCCAAGAGACGCACCCTAAAATTACTTTATTTCGAGGTACTGCGAACTGTATTGATATTACCTGAGAATTGGCAAAAGGAAGCAGTACCCCCAAAGTAAATACCCCGAACATGGTCCCACCGGTAGCTCCCCTAACGTAGTAGTTTAGCTCGAAGACCGTACCGCCATTTTCCAGTAAACATATGAAAGCTATTGACAACAACCCAAAGAATACAACAAATAGCTTCATAATCAAGCTAGGGGCTCTTCTTAAAAGCTTTTCGCTAATAATCCATGGAACAATGTCGCTGTAAACTATTCCAGACAGTGTATTTAGTAACGTCGAATATATGCTGAAAGTAGGTTGGTATATCTAATCGACCATTGTTAGGTCTTAATTACCTTAAAGATGATCCAAAGAACGCCGCTAAAAATAAACCATTAAATCCCGGAATGGACGCTGTTAGATCGGTTATGAAGTAAGGAAGGATTTGGTCCGCCTTTTTAATTGCTCCAATTGACTTCGGATCGCAATCAAAATATTTTGCGTACATAACCAACCCTAGCGTCATGCACAACACTTTCGCTAAAGTATAAATCGTTGAATATGAGGCGATTAGGCTGCAAGTTCTTTCGGATTTCCACAATTTTCATTAAGGGTAGTAACTCACCGAGGTATTAATTGCTTTGGTATTGTGAAGTATCTCTGAACCTCGTGAGGCGACGTGCAAAGAGTTACGCATGAGGTAACTGTGGATCCCAGTAAAATGGTCCAAAAGCTCACTCTTACAGTCGGGTTAGGGTTGAAACTATGAAAAAATAGAGAGCGTCAATGTTTTTGATGGTTATAGGCAAGCGTACTCAAAGATGTTTAGCCTGTCACCATCGCTTGCACGATGGATAACTTCGCTAACGCTTCCGGTTGATACAATTCCCATTACTATTAGCGCAATTACAAGAGTAATGGTAATGGATAACTGCACCACATCACTCCAGGTGACCCCTTTAATTCCGCCAAGGCTGGTATAGAACACACATACACATGTCATTACCGAGGCAATTAGATACAGGTTAACGCCCGTCGCTAAAACATGATTTTGCGTCTTCTTTTAAATTCCGCGCCGAATTACCTTGGCTGAATGTAAGTGAAGGAGTGTACATGCACATAGGAAGTATGCACGCATACGTTGCTACTGTGATCAGCATCAGCAGCTTTCTCAAAAAACCATTAAACCTCATTTCCAAGTACTCGAAGATGCTGGTCATGTTCAAGTTGCTAAAGACAGGCACGTACAAGAAATAGTTAGCTAAACTCGCGAGTGCTATCGAAATGGTCATTAATATAACTTGACTTCCATGGAGATACACTTCGGTCGCTAATCCTACGACAGAATGGCTCGACAGTGCACTAAAATTTGAAGGTAGAATATTGTCGACCTCCATCTTAAGGTACCTTGCCGTTAAACTTACACTTACCGCTAACCATTTCATGTTTTTTCCACCGAAGAGATAGTCGTCGATTGTTTTCTGTCTTGAGAACAATCCGTGGTATAAACCTACAATGCAGCTTATCGCGATGACGATCACGAATATGGTATAGTCGATCCATGTGAAGCCGTTCGTCGCCATCTTGAGCTAAGTGAAACTCGATTAACACGTTTGAATCTGTTGCACTAATTATTGTGTGATTTTGTGTGACAGATGGTCGCTTTAGGCCTAGAAACACTTAGCTTTGAATTTAGAATGTTTCCATTGTTTGGCACGTTACATAGTGAAAGAGAACGAAACAAAAAGGCAATAGAATCAAGCGCTTTAAGATAAGAAACGAGTATGCAAGCACAGTTTTGCCGATTCTAAAGATCGTTTTTAGGGAACATGACGGCTTTTCTGGTAAACCTTTGCGTATATAAAAAAAATGTAGCCGAATGAGAATGCGATTCTTTGCTGAACTTTCACGGTGTAAATCGAGCGCGGCATTTTATATCGCGTAACATTTATTTTCGACCAAAAGTTTCAAGACGAGCTCATGTGATCTAGGGTTACAGAAGATTTCACAATCATACGTGACATTTTTTATTCCTTATCGTCGCATAACCCGAATACTGTGCTGCCAATTCAACGAAATTATTATTATGTGACTTTAAATTCTTTGCAATTTGCCATTACAAGTAAAGTGATATGCAGTAGCGTCTTTAGGCAAAAAAGGAACTACTGCAAGTATCGATTCATAATGACAAGTATGTAATAGCGACGTATTTTGCTCGAGTTTTCAATGGACACGGTGGAACTGTGATATTTGTAAAGAAGGACATTCAGTTCGAAGTAATTGCGGGAATAAGAGATCTATCGGTCGAAATGCATTTTGAAATATGCGGTATAAGACTACTGGATCACTCTGCAACAGTAATTTCAATGTATAGACCTGATCGGGACAATAGTATCTTTATCGAAAACATTGAGAAAGCGTTGGAAATTGTACAAAATCATAGACTAATTTTGTGTGGTGACTTTAACATCCATTTTTTACATGATTCTTGCTTGTTGAAAAAAATGCTTAATATATTTCGAACATACGACTTACACCCAACCATTACAACTCCAACTAGAATAACAGCAACTACAAGTACTTGTATCGATAATATTGTCACCAATTTTCAAGATAACATGTAGGTATCATATTTTTAATTTACCTATTGATTTTTCTGATCACAACATGCAAATAATATTATTAAAAAAATGTAAAAAGAGTCGAAGATTATTTAAATTAGGGCCTCATATTACTAAAAAAATATTAATTCACTTACCAACAACTTAGAACGTGTCAATTGGAATTCGTTGTATAGCGAAAAAAATGTGGATAATTTCGTATCAACATTTTTTTAATTTCATTAAACCCATCTTTGAGAAGTGTTTCCCCCTTAGAAAGCGTTACAATACCGAGAATAAAAAAAGCTGGGTAACTAAGGGAATTTGTACATCGAGCAAAATAAAGCGTAGGCTCTATATTAATGTGAGGAAAACTGAGGAACCGAATTTAATTGCACACTATAGACGATATGCCAAAGTGTTTAAAAAATTAATTATTAACGCCAAAAGGATGCACTCTAACAGAATAATAATGAAATCTAAAAATAAAATAAAAACTACTTGGCAATTAATAAATCAAAATTTAAACAGGCTAGCCTCGCCACCAAACATTATTTCTTTAAGTCACGATGGCAAAGATATAGCTACGCCTGTAGAAATCGCTAATGTCTTCAATGACTACTTTGTTTCTATAGCTGAGAAAAATATAAATAAAATTCCAACATCTTACGAAATCCCTAAAGTAATACCAACCCCACAACATTCTTTTTTTCTATTTCCCGTTACAATCAATGAATTATATAACGTAGTACATAATTTGAACAATACTAATGCATGCGGTGAAGACAATATACCAATTAGTTTTTATAAAGAAGCGCTACATTACATGCAGAAACCCCTGATTTACTTAATAAATTTAATTTTTACGACAGGGGAGTTTCCAAAACACGGTAAAATTGCGAAAATCAAACCATTGCATAAAAGTAAAACAAACAAGTTAAAAAGTAATCGTAAACGATTTACATAAAGCGCATTTCCACTTGCATTCATTTCCCATTTGTAAGATGCAACTTCTGTTAAAATCGTAAAAATCCGCCCACAAATATGAAAGATAGCGTTGCACATGGGCAATCCATTGTTGACGTGCTACTTCAATTTCAGTTTGAGAAGAATTTCATTTCAATGCTTTTCTAAATAAGAAAGTTGGAACTGCGCATGCGCAAACCTAAATTTTAAAACTAATGTTAGATTTTCCTTTGTTCCAAGCGCCTAAGTACCAAATTTCACTTAAATAGTTCCATAGATAAAAAAGTTGGCACGGCGCATGCGCAAAACCAAATTTTGAAATTGGCGTTTGATTTTCCTTTATTCGAAGTGCCTATGTATCAAATTTCATTCAAATACTTTTATAAGTAAAAAAGTTTGCAATTCGATTTATAAATGGTCGAGATGCGAAAAGGGCACTGTGAATTTTGAATCGATTCGATTCAACTTTTGGCATTGCGTATTATATGGTTAAAGCTATGCCCATATTGAATTTCATGCAATTCAGTTCATAACTAACGGAGATGTAAAAGCGATCGAACATTTTTAAACAAAGTTATCGTTCACACGGACAGATAGATGGACAGACAGACAAAGGAACAGACGGAGAGACCAACCGGCAGGCGACAGATAGCAATGAAAAATTATAAACGATCTCTAGGATCGTTAATAAACGGCAAAAGTGTAAAATTATGGAACATGTAAAAAACGGTTTTTTGTTTTTTTACAATAACTTTTTGTAAGCGGTACAGAAAAAATTCCTTCCTTGGTGCAAGACTCGACACCATAACGAACCAAATAGCGAAAAAAGTAGAACAATAGCTCTTAAGATAAAAAAACTAGTAGCGTCGCAAAGTTAGCGGACGGACGGACGGACGGACAAAGTGGCCACAATAGCGCATTTTTTTTTATTTTTGTGGAAATGCGCTAAAAAGGATGTATGTAATTACAGACCGATATCGATACTTAACACCTTGTCAAAAATAGTCGAATCACTATTAAAGAACAGATTGATTTCGTACTTCGAATCTCACCATTTATTTAATAATTCTCAACACGGGTACAGAGCTGGAAAATCGACGAACACGGCACTACAAAGCATGCTAAAGTTTGTTTACAATTTCCATAACAAGGGTAAAATTGTAGCATCGATAAATTGCGATCTCTCCAAGGCTTTTGACTTGGTAGATCCGGAATTACTGCTGTCAAAACTCCGTGCGCACGGAATTAGAGGCGTACCGTTAAATTTATTAAAATCGTTTGTTAGTGACAGATATCAATATGTTGTAATTGACAAAGTCTATAGTTCGGGACAAATAGTTGAAGTAAAGTCACAAGTACGACCTGTGAATTATGGTGTGCCACAAGGCTCCATTCTGGGTCCTATTTTATTTATCATATATATGAATGATTTGCCAAATAATTTAATAGATACGTGTCACATGTGTACTTATGCAGATGATACTAGTGTAACTATTGCCTGCAGTCAAAACGACTTAAAATTCACCTTAAACAAATCTTTGGCACAACTAATCAACTGGTTTAATGCAAATAAACTTTTAATAATTAACGTTGAGAAAACTAAAGTACTTGTCTATAAGAAAAATTCAAGTTCTGTTATTTCAAACATAACCTACGAATCGACAATAATCGAAACAAGTAATTACTGCAACTTTCTCGGAGTTATATTAGACAGAAATCTCAACTGGAAGGAACACATTGAACAACTACAATCAAAATTACACCAATCAATTTTTGCGCTCTCACGCTGTAGACAGTTCTGCAATAAAGATACGCGCTAATCAAAGTGTATTATGCTCTTTTTGAAGCGAAAATGAGATACGGAATCCTACTGTGGGGAAATACCAATAAAAATTTAATTAGCGACATTTTCAAAACTCAAAAACGAGCGCTTCGGACAATATTCTCGCTACAGCGAAGGGAAACCTGTAAGCCGTACTTTCAACAGTTCCGCATTCCTACCCTGTATAGTTTGTATATTATTCAATCTTTGTGTTATGTTTTTAAAAATAAGGCATTATTCTCCTTTAATTCCGATTACCCCAAATATAATACCAGATCAAAAAATAATTTTGCCTCCAAAAGTAAAGTGTATGACACATCAAATCTACAAATGGGTCTACGATTTTACAATGCTTTCCCTAGCAATATCAAATCTATATCGGCGTTCGTCCCATTTAAAAATAAGATTCGGAAAATACTTAACACAATGGCACCATATTCACTGGAAGACTTCTTCACAAATATCGCAATTTATTAACTGTAATTTTTATCGAAATTTTTATATACATTTAATATTGTTATGTTGTTGTTTGTTTAATTCATATCATTGTCTATTTACATTTTATCTTTACATTTAATATTGTTATGTTGTTTGTTTAATATATATTATAGTCTATTTACATTTTATCTTTATACATTTATATTAAGTTGTAATTGTTCCAATGTTATACCACAAAAGTGGTTCAATAAACGATCTCTCTCTCACTTCCTTGTGTAGCGAAATCAAGCGTGAATATAGTGCGGGCGAGTGCGTTGCCTTTTTAATAGGCGAGCGTTTTGGTCGGTCACTGTGGTTGCACGAATTTTAGCACGAAAGCATTGGGGCCAAAAGCAAGGAACGTTCAATGCATTTGACACAATGCAGTGTTTAGTTACGATAAAAAGAAATTTACTATCCCAATTTGCGAATCCTGGATTAAACGGCCAGAGGTAAAAGTTTAAAGGCGATTAATTAGTGTTTTTCCTAACTGTTACAACCCTGTGTATATAAAAATAAAATTGACATTTACATATTGGTAAATGATTCCAGTGAGTAAACCTAATTTCCACTACGAAATTTCGAAAAACCTGAAGCCCGGTTTGCTCCTGATTCAATTTCGTCTACCATTATGAATGATAGCCATGTTCATTGATACCATTCTTTTATGTGGGTTAAATTTTATTTAGTATCCAGAGATGTGTGTTTTAAATTATAAGGAGAA